AGGGGCCCAGTTATTTGGGCTATCTTCTGCTATCTTCCTTAGGTACATTAGCAGGAAGCTGGATCAGAAGTGGAACAGCTGGGAATCAAACCAGCACTCAGATATGGGATGTTGGTGTTGTAAGTAGTGTCTCAATTTACTGCATCACAACACTGGCCTCTAAATTACCTTACTTTAAAAAAATAATTTTATTTATTTGAAACAGAAAGAGATCTCATATTTGCTAGTTCACTCTGCAAATGCCTGTAACAACCAGGGCTGAGTGAGGCCAAAGCTAGCAGCCTGGAACTTAATTTGAGTCTCCCATGTGGGTGGCATGGACCCAGCTATTTGAATCATTAACATTGCTTCAAAGACGTGCGTTAGTAGTAAGTTAGAGTGGAGAAAAGAGACTTGAACCCAAGCATTTCAGTTTGTGATCAAGACACTCCAAGTGGTAGCTTAACAGCTGTGCCAAATACCCATCACTCATTTTATCTTCTTAAAACAGTTTGGAGACATAAACTTGAGAGAATTTTATAAAACTTACATGTAAAAATGTTCATGGAAGATGAAATTCAAAGTTTATTTGGTGCAAAAATTTTTGAGACTCATACTAGGGGTCTTCAAAAACTTCATGAAAATGCATATTATGAAAAAAAAATATTCATAGGTTTCAAAACTGTTTTGTATCAAAATAAACTTTCATTCAGAGGAAGAGAGAGAGGGAAGAAGAGACAGGGAAGAAAAAGAGAAAGAGAGAGAGGGGGAGAGAGAGAGAGAAAGGGAGCACTTCTATCCACTGATTCGTTCCCCAAATGCCCCCAACATCTGGGACTGGGCTGGGTTAGAGCTAGGAACCAGGGACTCAATCTAGGTCTCCCATGTGGGTGGTAGGAACCCAATTACTTGAGACATCACTGCTACCTCCCAGGATACTCATTGGAGGGAAGCTGGAGTCAGGAGTCAGGAGCCAGAGCTAGGAAGAACCTAGCACTCCTACGTGAAACACAGACATTTTAACTGCTAGGTTAGCTACCCACACCCAAGCTAATCATTTAATTCCATTTCTCTATTATACTTCAGAAGTAACCTTTTTATCTTCATGCTTTATGAATCCAATGAAAGATCCTAATTTTTCCATTTCTTTGTGGATAGGTTAAAAAGTTAAAAAAAAGAATTTTAAAAAGAATATTATACAGCAACTAATACCTCTTTTTAAAATGTAACAGTAAAAAATTTATTAGAATGTTGATTTTCATTTAAGTAACCATATTCATAAAAATATGCAGATTAATATTTATAGAATATTTGGTTATAGAATATCATCTTTTTTAACATTTTTTTTAGAATATCATCTTTTTAAAAGCTAAAGTTCTAAACACTATACAGACTGCCTATTTAATTTAAATACAAATAATTTCTGATAAAAATAAATGAACATAAATACAGCCATGGAGGACATAAAGTATCTGTCAACAGACATATGCAGATATAAGTTTAGTCTTTAAAAAAACAGCACTACCGGGCCGGCGCCACGGCTCACTAGGCTAATCCTCCACCTTGCGGCGCCGGTACCCTGGGTTCTAGTCCCAGTCGGGGCGCCGGATTCTGTCCTGGTTGTCCCTCTTCCAGGCCAGCTCTCTGCTGTGGCCAGGGAGTGCAGTGGAGGATGGCCCAAGTGCTTGGGCCCTGCACCCCATGGGAGACCAGGAGAAGCACCTGGCTCCTGGCTTCAGATCAGCACGGTGCACCAGCCACAGCGCGCCGGCCGCGGCAGCCATTGGAGGGTGAACCAACAGCAAAGGAAGACCTTTCTCTCTGTCTCTCTCTCTCACTGTCCACTCTGCCTGTCAGAAAAAACAAAACAAAACAAAACAAAAAAACAGCACTTCCAAAATGTTCTACCTTTTTGCCTCTTGACTACCCTTTCCAGGTCTTCTCCCTTCTGGGTACCATTCAATGTTCACAATATCAGGCAAGGCAATATTTGCTTGCTTACTTTCTAATTGCTCTTTGCAAATGCAAATAAGGATCTGATATTAGTCCTTCATAGTCTGACTAAAACTCATACAAATCAATGTATTTAGTCTCTTGGTCATTTGCATTTAAAACCTCTTTAACTCTTACTGTGGAATAAAAGGATTACCTTTTGTAAAGAAAGGTAAGGCAGTAACTAAGTAAAGATGATTTGGAAGACAGGCAAAGGAAGCTTCTTTGTAAGTGACAGTGATATAATAGAGCTATCTGATGATAAAATTACTGTAGTCTTTTATTTTTTTCTTTTTTGAAGTCAAGGACAGGAGACAAAAGAGATACTATGTCAGCTATTATCATTTTATCCTTTATCTTTTTAACCCCAGGATTTATAGATGTGGGGGATCAAACCATTTTGTGTGCCTGTAGCTTGGGCATCCAGCTCATTTTTCTTTATCGTCAGAATCACACAGCCAAAACTGAGAGTTTCAACTGCTTCAAGTAGCTCCAAAACCTCTCACGCAGCCCAGGAAGAACACAGAGAGAGACTGCAGAGCAGTTGCTCAAAGAAAAGAATGGCTGGTGTCACAGCCTTTCCCAATCACAAATGATTACATGAAAACCTATACTCACTGTGATGGAGATGTCAGTTTTGTGCCCTGCCAATTTGTTACTAAAGTAATACGGTACTCAAGTTATTCTTTTTAGAGGTTTAGATAAGAGCACAGAGAAGTGGCCACTAAGGAAGAGCTTGTTTTGTGTAAGCCTTGAGTCTCATCTATCTGCATGTTCTTCGTGATTATGACTAAATGTTATATGATGGTAGGAGAAATTCGTTAAATGGACAAAAAATCTAAAGCTAAAACCATGTTTTGGCTATATAAAAGTAATACTTATCTAAATAAATTATGTGAATTGCTTTAAACTTATGCCTAATTACCACGCAGCACAATAATGATTACATCATTATTTCTGTCAGATTAACTTTGCTATAAATTTGATTACAGGGGCAAATTCTAAATACGCAGCCCTTATGATTTACTGTTTTAAACAACTATTTACTAAGCCCTTTCCACATGACAGAGACTGAATGAAATGGTGGGGATAAAAACAATGAAACATCTCTGTTCTCATGGGGATTACAGTCTTGTTGAAGAGACAGACGAGTATAGACAAATGCCTAGCAAAGAAACTAACAAAAAAACACATATTTTTAATGAAGGTAAAGATAAGCACAGAATATCAGTACCAGTGCTGGGGTGTCAGCAAGACTACAATAATAAGCTGTGAGAACTGATTCCTGAAGAACCAGTAAAGTTAGCCGGGAGAGAGAGGAGGATGAAGTGAACTATCTGGCAAAAGGATCAGGAAATATACTGGCCTCAGAAATTAGACACTGTATAGAGTGTTCGAAGAACTGCTCGGTTGAAACACAATGCAACAAGAGTCCTAAGAGAATGAAACTAGTGATGTAAGGAGAAGCCAAAACAAAAGAAGACTTGAATATGATAGCAACAGTTTGAAATCTTGCTGGTAACAGGGAATTCTATAGGATTTCCAGAAGAATAATGGTGCATTCAGATTTACATTTCAGTTGTATCACTTTGGCTTCACTGTGAAGAATGAAGTGGTAGAGCTCACAACTGGAGACTGGCAGGAAGGTCATGAGTCAGTCAGATATATCTGGTGAAGGGTGCTGGTGGCTGAGGTTAGGCTATTAGGGATGAAGAGAGATGGATACATTTGAGAAATATTTTAACAGGAACAAATGAGACATCTTAGTGATTGATTAAACATAAGGAGAAGAAGGGAGCTGGAGACAGATTTCAGACTTAGGAAAATGCACGGTGATATGGCATTTACCAAGAGCAAAGTGGGAGAAGATGCACATTGGTGAGGTTTCTGTTTTGTTTATTTTGGGGAGGAGGGGCTCAGAGAGCATTAGAAATTAAGAGCTTTAATTTGACTCTTTGAGTTTTATTTGTTAGGGGATGTCTTATAAGCAGATGAATATATGGGTTTAAGGCTAAGGAGAAAGTTCTGAGCCAAGACATACACTCCTTTTTGGGAGACATCATTTTGTAACATATGAAAGCCATCAGAATGAGACAAGGACTAATATCAACAGACTAATGACACCCAGAATTTTGAGGATGAGCTGATCACAAGCAAATTAAGAAAAATACAAAGAAGGAATAACCAAAGAAGTGTGTGGTGGGTGTTAGGGGGAGGAAGAAAAAAGCAGATGATCATGAATGTCAAGGGAAGAGAATGTTTTGAGAGTCAACAAAGTTAAGTACAGTAGAGTATAAACTGCAGTAGCCTTTCTGGAAAACAATTCAGCATAACCATTATATTGATACTCAGTTCTACTTCTTGATATTTAAATCAGAAAAATGCTAATATACCTGTTCATTCAGACAAAATTAAGAACTCTTTGTAAACTCCAAAAAAAAAAAAAAAGGAGGCTGCAGGGTCTGGGAAAGATATCATGTCTGGCAGCACAAAAAAGCCCAAGAGGGTGCAGGTTTTCGAGGAGAAACAAAAAGAGAAGCAGAAGAAACCTGAAGAGCTAAAAGTATAGTTAGAGAGGAAGAGCCTGCTGGCCACAGTGAAATGAAAACTCACAAAAAGTAGTCTGTTCCTTTGTTTCTGAGGCATTGGTAACCGTGTATTCCATTCCTATCTAAACATCTAGATTCCCTATCATGTACTGCCTTGCAGCCTGTTGTACATTTAAGAACAAACTTTTACAAAAAACAAAAAAAAACTAGCCAGCGCCACGGCTCACCGGGTTCTAGTCCCTGTTGGGGCGCCAGATTCTGTCCCAGTTGCTCCTCTTCCAGTCCAACTCTCTGCTGTGGCCCGGGAGTGCAGTGGAGGATGGCCCAGGTGCTTGGGCCCTGTACCCACCTGCTCCTGGCTTCGGATCAGCGCAGCACGCCGGCCGCAGTGCATCGGCCATGGCAGCCATCTGGGGGGTGAACCAATGGAAGGAAGACCTTTCTCTCTGTCTCTCTCTGTCACTGTCTAACTCTGTCAAAAAAAAAAAAAAAATCATAGAGTAGCTGTTTGCACTCAGCCATTCTTACTTAGCTATGAATTTAAAGTAAACACAGACCAGAAACCTGCCATAGTTTGCTCTTTGGTATTTGTTCTAACCTGAATTTTTATCACCTGGAAATAAACTAAAACAGGTAAGCATCCAAAAGTAGAGTATTAAATAGAATACAATAAAGTGATCCTCCTAAATATTTCACAGATTAAGGAGAATAAAATAGAGGGAAAAGACAAAGAAATATTAAATACAAAAAAAGGGGGAAGTTATGGACAATATACATGCTAGTTGCTATTTTTAATATATTTCTTTATGTGTATATAATTGTATAGAAAAAGTTTGAAAGAGAATATACCAGGCTGGCGCCGCGGCTCACTTGGCTAATCCTCCGCCTGCGGCGTCGGCACCCAGGATTCTAGTCCCGGTTGGGGCGCCGGATTCTGTCCCAGTTGCCCCTCTTCCAGTCCAGTTCTCTGCTGTGGCCCTAGAAGTGGAGGATGGCCCAAGTGCTTGGGCCCTGTACCTGTATGGGAGACCAGGAGGAAGCACCTGGCTCCTGGCTTCGGATCGGCACAGCATGCTGGCTGTGGTGGCCATTTTGGGGGTGAACCAACAGAAGGAAGACCTTTCTCTCTGTCTCTCTCTCTGTGTCAGAAAAAAAAAAAAAAAAAAAGAATATATACCAAACATGTCCAATAGTTCACTCTGTGAAGAAAGTTGGTATTTGGCTGGGTATATGGCCAAGGGGGATTTTGTTTGACCTACATTATTTTACTTATTTTTTAAATGTAAATGTTTCCATGAATTATATAATTAAAAATACAATTTCAAAATTCTATCAACTGGGACCAGTGTCGTAGCACTGCAAGTTGAGATACTGCATGCAATACTGACATACTATATCTGGAGCACTGGTTCCAGTCCTGGTTATTCCACCTCTGATCCAGTTTTCTGCTAATGTGCCTGGGAAGGCAGTGGAAGATAGCTCAAATATTTGAGCCCCTGTCATCTACATAGGAGATCAGGATGGAGTTCCTGGCTCCCGACTAGGGCCTGGCCGACCCAGCTGTTGCAGTGATTTCTGAAGTGAACTAGAGGGATCTCTCTCTCTCTCTCTTTCTCCCTCTCTGCCTTATAAATAAATAAATAAATGTTTTAAAAAATAAAATTCTTGGGGCCGGTGCTGTGACATAATGGGTAAACCACAACCTGCAATGCCGGCATCCCACATGGGCGCTGGTTTAAGTCTATTTCCAATTCAGCTCTCTGTTGTGGCCTGGGAAAGCAGTAGAAAATGGTCCAAGTCCTTGGGCCCCTGCCCCTGCATGAGAGACCTAGAAGAAGCTCCTGGCTTCAGTTCAACGCAGCTCCAGCAGTTTCGGCCAATTGGGGAGCGAACCAGGGGATGGAAGATCTCTCTCTCTTTGCCTCTCCTTTTCTCTCTGTGTAACTCTGACCTTCAAATAAATAAACAAATCTTTTAAAAAAATAAAATAAAATTTTATCAAACACATTTTAAAAATAGATCAGGTAAAATTAGAAAAATATCCTCTTACAATTAAGGGGGCTTTAAAAACTTTAATTAGAATAGCTTTATAAGGGTAAAGGAAATAAAAGATAGAGTTAAGACAAACTGGAAGAAAAGAAGGAGATGGAATATAACACACAGAAAGCTAAGTGATGAACAGGAAGAAAAAAAAAACTCAGTGTTGGAGTTTTCATGAAGAAGAGAAGAAAAATAATACTGTCAATTATGCCTGGTCGTTTAGTCATGAATTAAAAAAAATGTTGGGGGTCACAATGCTAATAATTCATCACAAGATTTAATATCTGTTAAATGATATACAGGTTAACAATGGCAAGGTCCAAATAGAAATCATTAATTGAGAAGTCAGAACAATGAAATTTGGGTTAGAAAAATGGCTTAGAGAAGGATTTAGAAAATATCTCAAAGCTGACCAACCAAGAGATAAAGGGAAAGGAAGATAGAGTTTTCAGTGTCTTCTTTTCTTACAGGAAAGGCTGACATCAGAAGTATACAAAGAAATGGTCTAAGTACCAGATGAGAAATGTCGAGAAAAGCTTCTGGTAGGTACCACCAAGACTCACTGTAATATGCTGACAAATAAATCAGGTACACAAATGAGGCTCCGTATTGATATTAGTTTCATGTTTAGGTACTGGCATATGTACACTGCTGTGTATTAGCCAAAAGTTGGAAAAAAAGCACATTGCCAGAAGAGGTAGTGAATGATAAAGTACAATTTAACTATATTTTAAATATCACAGAGAATTTTTATTCAACATTAAATAACAAAAATTACTTGACAGTAGGTTATAATTTGAAACCTCTTTTGGAATTATAATAAGAATGACCCCAAATACCTTAGTTTTGAAGAAAATCAAAATATAAGCACATTTCAGAAAGTTTGTGGAAAAGCAGAATTAAAATATAAGCTTATTTTAGTGCACAAATATTTTGAAATAATATTTAATTTGTTTCATAATACACATTCTATACAAACATTTTGAAGACTCCTATTTCTTGGTAGCCAGGCCCTTCTGGAAAATTCTTATAAGGGAAATAAGTGCTAACAATGAGCAACAACTTCCTAGGGGGCTAACTCATCCACAACATTACCAAAAAATACATCTTATTCTATGACTACTTTTACAGAAGGATGGAGGGGCTGCTCAGACTCTGGTGAAAGAAAGTATAGTGTGATGAACTTGAGGCTTGGGATGGGCTTGGTAAGCAAACAACTTTGCACCATAGTAGTCATGGTGCTTTTCTAAGACAATCCACCCCATTCCTATATTTCACTGCAACATAGGAGCTGAAAGAGAGGGGGTGAGGTCTTTTGTAAGTGCAGCTTTAGGAGGAATAATCACTGACATCTACACAGGAAGCCCTTCATTTTGGGGCCTGATATATTTTGCTTCACCTATTTAAATTATGTGAGAAGCCAAAAGACACTTTGAATTAACAGTGCTCACCTTAACAGTTCTATCTGTAGAACAGGCAAATTCCTTCTCTGACTTATCATACAGGCTGCTTTCTGTGAATCAGAAGAGAACAACCAACTTCGATCATTTGAACATGGAGCATCAACTAACACCTGGAAAAGAAAAAGGACGAACGATGCAAATCTGCACTGAAAATACATGCAAAGCAACAAATAAATTAATATTTTTCTTTGAAGCTTAAAACACATCAAGGTAAATTTTCTCTGACATTTTTGCACTAACACTTAGAAAAATTATCTATATACTTTTCAGTGTTTGTTTCATTTAGAAGAGGAAGATGATAAGACTAGAGGTTTATTAAGCTTAGATTTGACACTCTTGATGAACACAAGCCAAATCTTTACAAAAAATACCCAACTTAAACAGATATTACTGTATGAGTATATCTGAATTCTGAACATTTCAAGAATTAATATTTAAATTTCAGCTTACTAAATTGACTGTTTTTTAAAATGCAATACTCTGACATGAAATGTTCCAAATTAAAGCAGTATAGTACACATGTTTGTGTACTGACCCAAATAATATGGATCTTTTCCTGAGTTATCTTTGAGATACCTGGAAACACAAAAAATTTGGTAATACCCAATCCCAAAGTTATCACTTCCTTTGAGCTATGCTTACCATCAAATGAAAACTGCCTTCACGGTCACCTTTTCAAAATTTCTCAGAGTTCTGACAAACTGTGTCAGGATATGTCTGGGAGCAAACGGAAAACAACAACAAAGCAACATAATAGTGGAATCACTGGCAGTGCATCATCTCATCACAATGTAATAAAAGTACCTTGTCAAAGCTTTCAGGCTGAGATTCTCCCATGTCTCTGCCATCCAATTCAGACACTTTAATTGTATTTATCAAAGGCTGTGGGATGAAAGATTCTAACGTCTGCTTCAGCCACCTCAATCTCAGACTATCGTATTCATTACAATGAAGATAACCTAAACATAAAAGATAAAAAGTATTCAGTGAAGGCAATGGAATTGTTAAATTTCTACTTTGCAGAAAATAATTTCAGAAGAAAATAAATTTCAGAAGAAAATAAATTCCTGGTAATTATGCAGAAATAGGACTCAGCAGTAGGCACTGTGATTATCTTTTGCTTTAAAATAGAAATCTGTATGTATATACTATATAAAACATTTCAAGAGTTATGCCTACACATCTTCTCAACAGTTCTCACATTTACTCAACCAAGTTTAATTTTGGGGGGTGCAACCCTGTAGAGAATGATGGATTCCTAAAGATGCACTACATTTTGTCAACATAGCACACAGTTCTCATCCATTAGCACTCAATAAGTGTAACCAATATATTATATATACAAGAAGTTTTTAAAAAGTTCATAGAAAATTCATATTATGAAGAAGCTATGCATGAACTTCAAAATATTTTTGAACCCAAATATGCTCATACTAACTTATAATAACATGTCTGAACAGGAACTAGCATGAGGCACTAAGAATAAGATAGCAATTTGAAAGGACTCCCTATCAGAGCAACAAGATTTTTGTTAAACTGAAGAGATAGCAAACAACAAATTCATAGTGAAGCCATGGTAGAAAAATAGTGAAATCACTGATGTTTTCCAAAAAGTTGACAGCAACAATGCCCCAAATAAATCAGCAGTTTACAAATGGACAACATATTTTAAGAACAGATGTGATAACTGAAGATGAAGCCCATAGCAGCAGATCATCAACATCAAAGTATGAGAAAAAAAACTACTCTTACTTGTGCCCTAATTTAAGAGGATCAATAAGTAACAGCAGACACAGCATCCAATACTCAAGACATCTTTTTTTGAAAGATTTATTTATTTATTTGAAAGAGTTACGGAGAGGCAGAGAGAGGGAGAGAGAAAGAGGGAAAGAGAGAGAGGTCTTTCATCTGCTGGTTCATTCCCTAGATGGCCATAACTGCTGGAGCTGTGCAGATCTGAAGCCATGAGTCAGAAGCTTCTTCCATGTCTCCCATGTGGGTGCAGGGGCCCAAGGACTTGGGCCATCTTCTACTGCTTTCCCAGGCCATAGCAGAGAGCTGGATAGGAAGTGGAGCAGCCAGGACTCAAACCGGTGCCCATAGGGGATGCTGGCACTGCGGACGGCGGCTTTACCCACTACGGCACAACGCTAGCCCCTCAAGACATCTTGACTACACAATTCTGACTAAAAAACTAAAGTGAAGGGAACATTCCACTCAGTGGGTTCCAAATCGGTTGTGCCTAGATCAGCTACAGATAAGAGCAGAGATTTAATGGAAATTTTAAGAAAATGGAATTGACAATTCTTTTTTATTTGAAAGGCAGAGTTACAAGAAGAGAGAGAAGGGGGAGTAGAGAGAGAAAGAGAGAGAGAGAGAGACAGAGAGAGAGAACATCTTCCATCCACTGGTATACTCCCTAAACGGCCACAACAGCTGGAGTTGGGCCAGTCCGAAGCCAGGAGCCAAAAGCTTCTTCCACCATGTGGGTGCAAGGGCCCAAGCACTTGGGCCATTCTCCTCTGCTTTCCCAGGTACGTTAGCAGGGAGCTGTTGGAAGTGGAGCAGCCAGGACTCAAACCAATGCCCAAATGGGATGCTGGAGTCACAGGTGGTAGTTTTACCAACTACACCACAGTGCCAGCCCCAGAATTGACATCTTGAAGCATTTCTTTGCAGAATGGTAACAGGACATGAAACACAGCTTTACTAATATGCTCCTGAAGACAAAGCACAATCAAAGCAACAGCTTCCAAAAGATGGACTGGATCCAACCAAAACAGAAACAGACTGGTTGAAAGCAATGGTCATGACAAATTTTGTTGGATGCTCAAAATATTCTGCTTGTTGACCTTCTCAAAGAGCAAGAAACAATAACATCTGCTTATTCTGAGAGAGTTCTGAATCAGTGAGCCAAAGTGTTAAAGGAAAAACACTGAGGAAAGTGTTATCAGGAAGTCCATCTCTACCGTGACAATGCTCCTGCTCATCCCTACTATCTAAGAAGGGCAATTTGGTGAGTTTTGATGGGAAATCTTTAGGCAGTCACCTTATAGTCCTGATTTGGCTCCTTCTGACTTTGTTTCTTAGTCATAAAAATAAACTTTATAAAGACCAGTCATTTTTCTTCAGATAATAGTGGAAAAAAGGTTTCACTGACATGATTAAGTTACCAGGAGCTTCAATTCTTTGGACTTGGAACAAATGGCTGCCTTCATTCCTTGCAAAAGTGTCTTGAACCTGGTGGATCTTATGAAAAATAAAGTTTATATTTTTTGCTTTAATTTCCAATTTTTTCATGAATTCGTGGAACATTCATTGTGTATAAAACACCTTCTATGGCACAGAACCTTCATTTTAAATGAGGGAAGGTAATGTGGTATGTGGACAAAACAAGCGCTGCAGACTCTACAAGAAAGAAATGGGTTCAGATTTTGAATGAGGAATTATTTAGCTCGGCATGTTTCAGTCTCTTTATCTATAAAATGAGAACTGTATCTAGCTATGCTACAGAGTGGCTGTCAAGAGTTAGCCGGCGCCGCGGCTCACTAGGCTAATCCTCCGCCTAGCGGCGCCGGCACACCGGGTTCTAGTCCCGGTCGGGGCGCCGGATTCTGTCCCGGTTGCCCCTCTTCCAGGCCAGCCCTCTGCTGTGGCCAGGGAGTGCAGTGGAGGATGGCCCAAGTGCTTGGGTCCTGCACTCCATGGGAGACCAGGAAAAGCACCTGGCTCCTGGCTCCCGCCATCGGATCAGCGCGGTGCGCCGGCCGCAGCGCGCCGGCCGCGGCGGCCATTGGAGGGTGAACCAACGGCAAAGGAAGACCTTTCTCTCTGTCTCTCTCTCTCACTGTCCACTCTGCCTGTCAAAAAAAAAAAAAAAAAAAAAAGAGTAAATGCAGGGGCAGGCGCTGTGGCACAGCTGGTACAGCTGCCGTCTGCAGTGCTACCATCCCATATGGGCACCACTTCAAGTCCTGGCTGCTGTACTTCCAATCGGGCTCTCTGCTATGGCCTGGAAAGCAGTGGAAGATGGCCCAAGGCCACTGCATCCACGTGGGAGACCCAGAAGAAGCTCCTGGCTCCTGGCTTCGGATCGGCACAGCTCCAGCTGTTCAGGTCAGTTGGGGAGAGAACGAGAGGATTGCAGAAGACCCCTCTCTGCCTCTCCTTCTCTCTCTGTGTAACTCTTTCAAATAAATAAAAATCATAAAAAACTAAATATGACAAATTAATAACATATATTTCATAGTACTACAAAAATATTAGTAACACATTTTTATAACTAATAATTTTTGAGTTCATATTATGTGTTATGCATTATTCTAAACACACTGCATACAATAACATTTAATCTTTACAAACTCTGTGTGGTAGGTAAATACTCTCATATACTTTATTTTTTAAAAAGATTTATTTTATTTATTTGAAAGTCACAGTTCAAAGAGGAAGAGAAACAGAGAGAGAGAGAGAGAATCTTCCATCCACTGGAAGAGTCACGCTCCAAAATGTTACCACAGGCAGGGTTGGGCCAGCCTGAAGCCAGGAGCTTCATCCAGTCTCCCATGTGGGTGCATGTTTCACTGCTTTCCCAGGCACATTAGCAGTGAGCTGGATTGAAAGCAGACCAGCCAGAATTTGAACCAGCACCCATATGGGATGCCAACACCACAGGTGGTGTCTTAGCTCATTATGCCACAACGTTAACCCCAATTAAATTCAATTATTTAAGAGGTAAACACACACACACACACACACAGAGAGAGAGAGAGGGAGAGATAGAGGGAAAGAGAGACAGAGAGATCCAATTTGCTGCTTCAATCTCCAAATGTCTGCAAAATCAAGGAGCTCAGGAGCTAGGAACTACACCATGGATTTCCAACATGAGTAGCAGGGATACAAGTACTTGAGCCATTAGCTGCTACTTCGCAGGTGCATTTGCAGGAAACTGGAATGGAAGCCTAAGAATTAGTATTCAAATGAACATTCTGATATGGAATACAGCCATTGTAAATACAGGCTTAAGCCAATGCTCCACAATGCCTGCCATCTCCCAAGTTACTTTTTTTTTTTTTTTTTGACAGGCAGAGTGGACAGTGAGAGAGAGACAGAGAGAAAGGTCTTCCTTTTGCTGTTGGTTCACCCTACAATGGCCGCCTCAGCTGGCGCGCTGTGGCAGGTGCATCACACTGATCCGATGGCAGGAGCCAGGTGCTTATCCTGGTCTCCCATGGGGTACAGGGCCCAAGGACTTGGGCCATTTTCCACTGCACTCCCTGGCACAGCAGAGAGCTGGCCTGGAAGAGGGGCAACCAGGACAGAATCCGGCGCCCCGACCGGGACTAGAACCCGGTGTGCCGGCGCCGCAAGGTGGAGGATTAGCCTACTGAGCCGCGGCGCCAGCCCAAGTTACTCTTTAACCACATACTATACTGTTTCTCAGCAAATATTCTCTCTCTAGTGAAACAGTTTTTTCTTTTATTTAAATATACATTTCTATCTACATACACACACACTGATACATGCACAGAAGTGCTTTAAAGAGTTCGTGGAAAATGGAATTAAAAGATAAGTTTATTGGGGTCAGTGCTGTGGCATAGCAGGTTAAGCTGCCACCTATGATGCCAGTACCGCATACAGGCACTGGTTCAAGTCTAAGCTGCTCCAATTCTAATCCATTTCCTTGTTAAAGCACCTGGGAAAGCAGTGGAAGATGGTCCAAGTGCTTGGGCTCTGGCACCCATGGCTCCTGGCTTCTGTCTGCCACAGCTCTGGCCACTGCAGTAATTTGGGGAGTGAATCAGTGGATGGAAGATCTCACTTTCACTCTCTCAATCTGCCTCTGCTTCTTCCTCTCTGTAACACTGCCTTTCAAATAAATACATAAATCTGAAAAAGTTTATTTTGCTGCCAAAAATTCTGAGATCCATGCATGTTTTTATTAACTGTATATTCTTATTCT